CCCAAGAAGGCGGAGCCTAAGGGCACGCTCCACAGTTTCTTGAACAAGACTTCTCCGAAGCCTAAGCCTGCAGCGGATGATGATGATGACGACAACGATGATTTTGAAATGGAGGTAATGCCGAAGAAGAACCGCGGGGCCAGCAAGCCGGCAGCGCCAGCGAAGGAAGAAGAGAAAGAGACAGGCGACTCCGATATAGAAGTCCTGCCGAAGAAAAGTCGGGCTGCACCCAAGGCTGCCTCGAAAGTCAAGGCTGAAGATACCGACACCTCTGAGGTGAAAAAGGCACCAACCAAACGGGGCCGACCGGCGGCCAAAGCCAAGGCCAAGCCCGCAGAGGACGAGATCGAGCTGGTCGACGATGAGTTCATGGAAATCACCAAAGCGCAAGCTGCTGAGACTACCAAGGCTGATCCAGCGCCCAGCCGGGCGCGCAAACCGGCCAAGTACACCTTGGATGACTCGGACAGCGACAACGGGGACGACCTCCTGGGCGATGTGAGCAAGATGGTCAAGGGGATCGGCGGTACTACCGGCGGATCGACATCGGATTCCCGTCAGCTGTTCTCGGAGCGCTCTGGGGCCGGCAGCACCTCGGGTTTGGCCAGCAGCTCCAAGGCCTCGAAGCAGTCTCCCGATTTTGACGCCGATGAGACTGACTACAGCAAGCTAGTGCCACAGAGCTCTCCGCGCCGGTCGCTGCAGGTCAAGTCCAAGGAGACCAAGACATTAGTTGACAGCGACGAGGAGGAGGAGCCAGTGAAGCCGGCCGCTACTAAGGCCAAGCCGGCGGCCCGAGGCAAGGCAGCGGCAGTAGCCAAACCGGCCGCGAAGCCACGAGGCCGACCCAAGAAGGATGCCACCACCACTACAGCCGCATCTGCTAAGCAGACGGCGCTGTCGCCAGCAGCCAAGGCTTACGCTTCCAAGCAAGCCAAGACGACCACCAAGAAGAAGCAGCTGGCGGATGACTTGTCGGACGACGACATTGATGCAATGGCTAATGATATCTTGGATTCGCCCGCGGCGCCTACTACCCGGCCATCGCGGCGCACGGCAACGGCCAAGAAGAAGACGTACGTGATTGATGATGACAGTGATGACTTTGGAGCCGGAGGAGATTCGGGGGATGATTTCGCAGAGGACAGCGAGTAGAAGCAAAAAGATGTGGCGAGAAGAGTACATACACTTGGACGTAACTAATTTCTATTGAGTCGTTTTGTACCTACTACTACTACTACTATTCGTTTGCTACTGTTTCACCAGGTATGATAATGCAGTCGAATTTCCATTTGTTAACTCCGAAGTCTTATCTCGGATGGGTTGTTTGTACTCCGTAGAACCAAAAAAAAGAGAAGTCGGCGAGAAGTCCGAGGAAAGTGTGGCCCCAAGCTCCACTCAGGCTCCACTTTGGGGATCCACCAAATCCAAGGCTTGACTTTGAAGTCTCTTTTTTCTTTGCCTTTCGAGAAAGAAAGACCCGCCGTTGAAGGAGATTGCGTCTTTCCGGACCTTAAGTTTCGACCGAGACTGGCCTGGCCATTATTCAGCAATGCTTTAGTTCCAGGATTTGCGTAACTTAGTTCTCTTCGTCTCCAAGGTGGTTCTCTCGTCTGTTTCTTTTTCTTTCCTTCTTCTCTTCCTGTGCATCTCCCACTGACAGACATCTCCCCTCCATGCAGGCCTATCTTCAGTACCGCCGCATTGGCCATGCCGTGCGCAAACAACTCGAAGATTTCCCGGAGTTTGCCCGACCAGGTGTCGCCAAAGATGACCTGCCGGAGGGGATCCCCGGAGACGCTCCTAACACAGGTTCACGCCGCCGTTCTAGTCCGTTGCTGCCAGGTGTGCAGCTGAAGGACGTAGTTGAGAACGATGGCACCTCCTCATCCGTCTTTCTCGTCGACTGGGACGGTGACCATGATCCCATCAATCCGCGCAACTACAGCCGCGCCACCCGCATCGGCGCAACCCTGATGGTGTCTGCCCTGGGTTTCGCCGTCGGTGCGGCCTCATCTATCGAATCCGGCGTGCTTCCCCAGAACGCAGCAGCCTTTCACGTCAGCGACGTCGTCGCATCGCTCGCAACGGGTATGTATCTGCTCGGCTTCGCAGCAGGCTCGCTCGTCTCCGGGCCCCTGTCCGAAATCCTAGGCCGCAACGCCGTCTATACCGGCTCCCTCACGCTCTTCATGATCTTCGTCATGGCCTCAGGAATAGCCCCCAATATCGGCGCACAGCTCGCTTTTCGCTTCCTGGCTGGCATCTTCGGCTGCCCGCCGCTGACTTGCGCCGGCGGTACCATCGCCGACCTGTGGAACCCCCTGGAGAAAACGCTCTTCTTCCCTCTCTACGCTATCCTCTCCTTCGGCGGGCCCGTCCTCGGCCCCGTCATCGCTTCCTACATGGGCGAGGGCACGCTCTCCTGGCGCTGGACCAACTGGATCATCCTCATCCTGGCAGGTTTCATCCTGGCCCTGATCCTCCTGGTGCAGCCCGAGACCTACGGCCCCCTACTCCTGAAATGGAAGGCACACCACCTCCGCCACCAAACGGGCGACAACCGCTACCGCTCATCGATGGATCTTCAGGAGACAGCTCTGTTCTCGCGCATCGGAACCGCCTGCATGCGACAATTTGCCCTGACCATCCACGAACCCATCATCCTGCTGATCTCGCTCTACATGACCGTCATCTACATCGTGCTCTTCACCTTCTTCGACGGATACACGTACATCTTCTCCGACGTGCACGGCCTCTCCCAGGGCCTAACCAACATCGTCTGGGTCGCCATGTACATCGGCATCTCGATGGCCGGCCTTTTCGTTCCCGTCGTGTACGTCTGGACAAAGCGCGAATTCTCCGACGCGGCTGCATCCGCTGCTGCATCTGCAGCGGCTTCCCCCCGATCGGCCAGTTCGGAAATAGTCGCTGCCGATCCCAACGCCAACGCCGATACCAATGAGAAACCCAACCTCGACGACCCTACTACCACCGACGACGATGACACTCAAAAGCCCACCCAACAACAGCACAAACACGTCGCTCGTCCCGAGAACCGTCTCTGGTTCGCCATGCTCGGCGCCCCCGCCATTCCCATCGGCTTATTCTGGATGGGATGGACTGACTACGTACGTCCCCTATCCCCTCTTCTCCCTATATCTATACCCCTCCACCTTCCCTACTAACGTAATGAAAATAGAGCACTATCTCCATCTGGTCCCCCATCATCGCCTCCACCGTCTTCGGCTTCGGCACCATCTGCGTCTTCATCTCCTCATACATGTACGTCATCGACGCATACGACATCTACGCCGCCTCTGCTCTGGGCTTCATGACAGTGTCCCGCTACTGCGCGGCAGGCGGGATGACGGTTGTGGGCATCCCGTTTTATAGTAATATGGGCGTGCATTGGACGTTGACGATCCTGGGGGCGATTAGTGCCTTGATGACGCCCGTCCCGTATGTGTTTTATCGGTATGGTGTGGTCATTCGGGGATGGAGTCGGTATGCTGTTTAGTTTTATGAGGTACAGGGTAAGAAAGGGGGTGGGGATGGGGATGGAGATGAAAATAATTGGGGAGAATTAAATAGAATAGATGGGGTATAGATATAGATGTATATATGTTATTTAAAGAATAATTACTAATATTGTCAGGGGCAGATATATAGTTAAAAGCTGTTGAATCCTATAAAGTGAAATAAATATACGGATAGTATAACTAGCTGGAGCTATTATAAGGGAAGAGATACTAGAAATATAAAATAATATGGTAGAGAAACCAGAGTTAAGCTTATTGAAGTGAAGCAGCACGCCATGGCTGGTCCTGATGGTGAACCTATGGTGGACTAAGTGTGCCTTCAGTGCCTGGGAGTCAGGAAGAAACCCGAATGACCCGACAATCCGGCAGTCAGTCTGGCATTCCAATCACTTCAACCTTGGGACATGTCAAGACAAGGTTATAAGCTTCAATGAGAGAGGGAGAGGTTGATGAACAGCCAGTGGGACAGATACAGTGCCACCGATGGCGACATTCTGCTTAGGCACGTGTACCTGTTCGTAGTGCGAGCAACCCTTATACCATAGTCAAACGCAGCGAAAAGGGCAGAATACAGTGTCACCATCTATACTCCCCTAGTAAAGTGCTAGACAGAGGACTATTCAATCATGCACTATGACTAGTACCAGACCAGAATTGAGTGACGAGACGCCTGGATCTGGCTGAAGATATCTACTTCATTTGGTATGGGAGTCGATGGCCTACTCTTCCCATTTTAGTGCTCACTCAATAGATCTGAGCATGCCATGAGCACACTTTACTACGGTGTAGACGATCTGAAGTAATAACTGAGCATAGATTAAGCAGGAGATCAGATACTCTAAACCAATAATATTAGAAATAATAGTCTAACTAATAATTACTCCTTTACCTACTTTTCCATTTATAATCTACTTATACCTACAATACTCTACATTACTGTTGGTTCGGAGTTCTCTATCTATTTTTTCTAATAGAAAAAAAATCCATAGATACTACTCTATACCAGTATTATGAATACTCTGGTAGGTTTTCTTCTCTAGTAATAGACTATATAAAATCTACAAATTCATACCTTCTTATAACTGAAAGTTTACGTACTAAATGAGCTATTTTTATAACTTTAGATGGCTGGGACCTTGCCTCTTACGTTTTTGGAGAAATGTGGTTATAGAATCCATTTGCTCGATCTCGGGGCCTAAATTCAAGACAATCTTTGCTCTCGTGGTGTATTTTCTGACAGTTGGCTTAGTAGTCCCTACCATCTCAAACCGCCCGCCCGCCCCCGTATCCTGCTGCTGCAACCGTTGTCATAGGCGAGTCATCTTGTTTCACTCCCACAACTTCTCTAGTCTGCGTGGGAGGGAGTGACTTAGACTACCTGGAAATCAGCATTTGGAGTCCCAATAATCCCGCCATCTTCGAGCAGGATACAAGAACAACACTCTAAAAGAAGACGACATGGCCTCGTGTCTGGGTCCGTTAGCTTCATTCTGTGCTTCGGTGGAATCAAATAGTTCTTTATGGCTGGTTCTCATGTCACTGACTAAAATCTATTCGCAGAACAACGTTGGACTTCAATTCTTCCTGCGTTATATGGTGCAGCGATGACCATGGCCTCTCGTAAGTTTCGATTCCCTTCTTGAGCAGCGGACACTATGTGTGACACGAACAAAACCCAGTTCTTTGCGGATATCTTGTGGATCGCACTGCATCACGCCGGTGGCTTCTCATAGCAGGACTCGCGGGATTAGCGGTTGCCACGGCGCTCCTCTGCATTGGATCACACCTATCTCTATGGATTCTGGGGCGTTTACTGCAGGGCGGAGCTGCTGCGGCGGTCTGGACAGTTGGGATGACACTACTAGTGGATCGATATCAAGGAGATGCACTGGGCAATGCGCTGGGTTATTTCGCCATGTCCACAGTAGTAGGAGCCACTGCTGGGCCGCTCTTGGGTGGAGTCCTTTATGAACATGCGGGCTATTACGCCCCATTCGGACTAGCATTTGCGCTGATAGCTTTGGACCTAGCCCTCCGGATGATGATCATTGAAACGGAGAAAGATCAGGTAACATTCGAACATACGGACATGGAGCTCTCACAAATATCTGCCGATGAACGACAATCAAACCATCAAGACAGTCCTCCCGCTGCTACGGCCGCTTCGGGAGGAAGAAAAGGAGCCAGAGCTTCCGGTCGAGAAGACCACACAACAAGCGATCTCGAATTCATGGACCCTTCTTCACGAAGCTCGCGTCAAACAACCATTAATAAGGCAGTCTTCGCTCTACTCCGGTCTCCACGGATGGCTCTCGCGTTAACGGTCTATTTCCTTCTTTCTACGACCCTAACGGCATTCGATAGTGCATTACCACTCTTTGTCCGTGATACCTTTGGTTGGAAGCAATCTGCTCAAGGCCTTATATTTATTCCCCTGATGGTGCCACACGTTCTTGATCCCGTCATTGGGTATATAGTGGACCGCTGGCCTAAGACCCGCTGCTATTTGATTACGACGGGTCTATTGGCGATGGTACCGTTAATGGTAAGCCTGCGATTTATTACCGAGAATAGTATTGGCCATAAGGTTCTTCTCTGTACATTATTAGCACTTATCGGCGGTTGTGTTGAACTTATTGAGACACCAACTATCGTTGAAGTGACTAATCTTGCACTTGAGGCATCGACAGCATGGCCTGGGGCGTTAGGTAGGAATACCTCGATTGCATTGGCCTGTGGGCTCTGTAACTGTGCCTTTGCTGCGGGTTCAATGGCGGGCCCCTTCTTGGGAGGGTTCATTCGGGATCATGCTGGTTGGGGGACCATGTCGTGGGCACTGGCGGTGCCGACGGGAGTGTGGGGGATACTTGTGTTGTTATTTCTTTGCTGAACGGGCGTGCCCCATACGGTTGGTGCTTCTACAATCCAGCCAGATACAGAACTAACTAGATTGTCTGTGGTCTAGGAAGCAAGTGAATGACCTTATATCAGCTACATAGATGGCTAGTTGAATACAGGACTGACTAGATTGCTATACCAAGTGAGGTACTCGGGGTTTTTTGAGGAAATGCCTTGGTCTTGTCCTGGCTGGGGGTTTTCCCTTGAAATATACTATGTTTGAATTTTCCCAAACTGTAAGATGAATGCTAGATGAATGCAAAGACAATTTTTTTCCATGGGGCGGTAAGCTGAGGAGTCTTTGTTTGCACCCTATGCCTGATGATAAACAGCCAAAGACTCTGAAGCTGAAGGTTCTTGCAGGTTGGCTCAATAGCATACTTAGGATTGATTTTGAAAATACTGCACAAGGCCTAACTGTCTTCGGTCACACAACATTCTGCAACGTCTTCTGCTTTTGCTCGACGTGAAGATGGGGAAGTAGAGTGTTCAATTTAGTGACTGGCTTTGAATATCGATACACTTTGGCATAGTTCCAACAACCACGATCATACCTCTGGTCTATTTGCACCTACCTTAATATATAAAGATCAATCAATCTATAAACAGTCATATCGAGTCTATTCTAACCAAATTTGCAATACATAATAACCGCCATTACATGTCCAAAGAAACCACAACGCCATCCATCCATCCAATCAACAGCACATGCGCAAATTTTCAAATAAGACCACAGATCACACCCTCATAGGAAGCGGTACTGAGCGAATGCATGGAACCGTGTTGTCAACTTACAACATTTCAGATCTGAACCCGCTATTGCGCAAATCCATTAGTGCATGTGCGGCAATGGCTGCCCTGGAACCTTCCAAGGGAGCCTCAGGCTCACAAGTATCCATTGGCTGCCAGAAGCAGGCATCAACCATTCCATTAGCCAAGATGACATCAGCCGAGGATAAGTTGCTGCTATAGTAACTCTCTTGCGGTTCCACTTGACTGTCCCTCTTGTGCTCGTCATCGGAGAGGTGGATGCTCGATAAGCTGGAACCATAGAAGGTAAGCTGCGAGCTTGTCTCTGACCGGAATTCCTCTCGCATCCCACGTTCGAAAACCGCGTGTGGTGAGATACTTTCCTCGGAAATGTAGGGGGTATTGGCCAGCATATATGTATTCTGGGAGCTGCTGGTTGGCGAAACGCAATAGGTATCTTGCGGAGAGACGCTCTGACATTTCTGCTGGCAAGGCGACGGTTTTCGGGTCTTGTACTCTGGGTCTCGGTCGAGTTCTTCGGAGTTTCGATGACCTCCATGTCTGGGGACCTGCGGCTCCAGGCTGCGATAGTACGCCACATCCTCCGTGGCTTGACGAACTATCTCCGGATCGATGATCATATTGTTAAAGCGGGCGTCATTTGGGGGTATACACTGCGCGGGAAAGTCGAGGCCGAACATGGGCGTTAGGAGGAAACGAATATTCCAGCAAAATGTGGTTGCTAGCGCTTTGGCAGCCCTAAATGGCATCCAGTATCCTTGCTTTTAGTTAGCGGAGGTGTCTGAATGGAGTCTCAAGCTTACCTTGTCCGACGAGTGCGCCACCCGTGATGCTGTAAGTGATCTCGCTGAGACCCGGGTTCATTTTCAACACCTTTGCGGGAGCGGTCTGGAACCATCAGATGTGCTTTATTACGCACAGAGTAGGACGACACACCTTTGGATGGCCATTGCACTTGAAAAGAGCTGTTGTGAGAACAAGCCCGACATTATAATCCCACGTTATCACCCACTTTTTGGGGCTGTTGGGCAGTTCGAACGTGTAGTGGAAAACTATGGGAAACTCTTCCGGTCAACGTATGGCTTGAAGTAGGATAACGAGCAATCACCTTCAAATCGTTCTCGCCCTGTCCGCTCCCTGAATGACCTTTTTGTGCTAGTGTAGGGAATGCGGTCCGGAAAGTCTGCTATGTTGCCCATGGGGTATAGCTTGTGCTTCAAGTGGATCTTCTTGAGCTCTTCATCGCGCTCATCGTGAACGCGATAGCGAACTTCGCCCTGGATCTTGCCCCTCCTAAATGAAGGCTGATCTTTGGGGACCTTCGTCCTTTCTGAGTGGGGTGTCTGTAAAGACAATCCACGCTGTAGGCTCCCCCAGTTAAGACTGGGGCACGAGGTATCGGGGTTCAGAAGAGAATTTATAGAGGTCATGAGTGCGATGAGCCGAGTTAGGCAAACGATTAGACAGACAGAATGTGTGGCTCGGTAGAAGTGAGAGGGGTGGGCACCGAAATCTTAAATAACGATGAGAAAACTCAGATATGCAACTGCACATCTTCACCGATCTCTCTGCTTCTCTTGGGCTGAGACTTACCATCAGCTATGCTCATTTAGCAAAGTTCTAGAAGGTCTGCGAAAGTTTCAATGAAGGTTACCAAACCGTAACGGGGCGACTCAGAGCACAGTAGATGTTCAAGCCCGAAGGTCGGGAGATCTTTCTGCGCCCATCATAAGGCTACCTAAGAGAAATGGCATGCCAGGAAAAACAACACACAAGGGAATAGAAAAAGAAAAGAAAGGAAGAGCGGGAAAAATTACAGGGTCTTCCTTTTACACCAGCGCCAATACATGCATCCCCTGATGGTTTTCGGAGAATGAGCTCAATGGCTGAATCTGTGGGAAATAGACTTGTTCTGTTTGCATGGAACAAACCATTGGCCGGCCCTCGAGGCTTCAGGCCAGCGGTGAACCAAGTCCCCAAATAGATTCTCGAATGGACGGTTGGCTTGAGGGAGTGTCTTGGATGGAGGTTTCCCTCATGAGACAACCTCACCGATAGTTGACAAAGCATCATGAGACGGCATCAGCCACTGTTCTGAGCCCAAACCTAGGCTTTATGATATCCGCTGAGAGAATCAATGCTCCAACTGTCCCTATAGATTACTTGCACCCCTCTGGGGGATTGCAGGCTCCGGGGTCTCATTGTCATCATTGACATTGATTATCCTGGTATGACAGGAGCTCACGTAGGTCTGTAGCTCATCGAGGCCACCTTCGTTCCACCGCCCATCTGGAGTTACCCACGACCAGGGTCGCGATGCAATACCACCAGATCAGACGGTGAATTAGGTTTTAGGGACTCATACGGCCATGTGGATGTCCTGTGCAATTGACCGGTATTGGTGACAATGTCGTAAACCTTTTAGGCCTTGATAGCCCTTATTTGCAGACAGATGGCACGATAACCCCAGTAACAAGGCTAAAAGGGGGGCCAAGATCCACAAACCTTAAAAAGGGGATCTACATGACGTTTCCGTACTGTATCGTCTGGAGCCTGCTGATGATGACATCTTGGCTCTGCAGGCCGGTCGCCAGACGGCGAACTCATGCCGTCCATGAGCATTTAGCAACCGATCTGAAGTACATATGATGAGCTGCTCGAGCAACCGGGAGACTAGGCATTTTACTCGTATGACCAATAACGAACGAGCAGGGCTAGATGAGACTGGCTCGGCGAGGCGGATATTTGAGAGGTCTCAGACCAACGGGAAGCCGCAGCTCGCTCTTGTATCACCAGAAGCTGCGTTTCCGCCAGCTAATAATTTCCATCGGATCTCAGGGGTGTTGAAAGCCTTTGCAAGACGATGGTTTGTATTGTGGTGACTTTGTGGCTGACGGGCTGAGGCCAAGCTAGGAATCACAGTTTTGGAATGGGAAAGTAAAAGGAACTGGCCTCGATTGTCTCACATCCGCTCCAGCCGATGAATGCCGACGGGCATGTACTAGGTACTACTGTCGACAGTATGGCCCCGTTCTTTTCACGAGCTCAGCCAAGCCGAAGGATGAAAAACCATGGTCACACTACTCTGCATCATTTAATCAGACGACACCTCTGGTATAGGGAACCTCATTAGCACAGCTTCAACTCAGGCCTTACTGCATGGAAGCAGTACTCAATGACAGCAGAGTCACCCAAGCTCAGTCTGTAGATCACTCCCCGGGCCAGATCTGGCTTTTACGACCATTAGAAAAGGTAGAGAGAGATGTCAGCCCCGATAAAGCAGACCATCCCGCTGGCGCCAGTAATGCTGAGCTTCCACGCGGGATTCTGTGTCGGGGCCCCACGATTCTGTGGCGTGCCAGCTCTCTGGTTCCTTCTACTCATCTGTGCTTCCGAATAACCCTGTTGTGTCCAACGTGTCCAATCAGTCCCTCAGAGGCGCAGCCGAGCCCCAGCGGGGAGAAGCGCAGCGGCTTGGAATCGGCATTTGCAGACAATGGAGAAGGATTCCGGCCGAGCGGTACTAAGTGGTAACCAGATTTGACGACTCAAGAAGTACGACAGGTTCTCTGGTGGTTAGTGGATGGGTAAACCGCGACAGGGGGGCTGGTCTGAGAATGGCAGAGGAAAAACTCAATTCAAGACAATGGGAAATTACTCAGGCTGCCACACGTGCCAAATTAGCCTTTCTGGCCTCCCCAGAATTAGAAATTGGAGGAACAGGGTATGTTCTAGGCTTGTTTGGGGGGCAAGGAGGGGAGTCATCGCATGTGTTTGTGAAACGTGATGTTTAGCCTTTGGGTGACCATGAAGGACAGTGATTGGCTGCGAGGGTATGTTTAGGCTGTGAGAACGTAGCGGATCCTTTGAGATGGGTAGTCATCCAGAAGACAAAAAGAACTAGGCTCAGGCTCAGGCTGGGAGCACAGAGGGAAGGAGTTGGATGGATGAAGATGAAAGAGACAGTAGATAGAAACTAAGAAGGTATACTAGAGCATGCAGTAGTACTCCGTAGTCCATGAGTCTATCGCTCCTTCCCCGAGCGGGACTGACTGCAGTACTTCCGGGCGGGTCCCGTGGTGCCTTCCCAATCCATCGTCACTGCTAATTTATCAATGTGCCTACTTTGTACTCGTACTTCCAACTGGGCTCTGATCTTCTCAACACAGGACGAACAGGGATCGTAAATCGCATGACATGCTATAATTTGTACTTAGAAGTAATGTCCCAGTCAGAAACCCCTCCTTTTGCCCACCGCCCCCAAAGGACGAAAAAGCAATAACTGCATGCCACCAAACGCACGATGAACAGTATTTCCCCTATTTGTCATTGGACGCAGGGGCCATACAAATCCCTCCGACAAGGCTATTAACTTACAAGCAGAAACAAATGCATACAACTGCACAGTAAGCGAGTACAGAGGAAACAAGATTCTGGACCTGCAGCTACCCCTCTTTCTCAAGGCCTGAGACATACATACGGCTATTAGCAATGAGTAAGAGTCAGTCATCGGTGTATCCCAGTAGCCTCTCAGCTACCCATTTGGTGACCATTGAATCAGCTCATGCAGCATTGAGAAGCTGCTACATCCCAGTTCTTCCTTCCCACATCTACCTCGTTTTCTTATGTACCACATTCCTGGATCTAGAACCGCAAACCCGTCATCGGGTTGCATCCGAGGATGCCGTGGCCTTCTGAGCGGCCGGCGAGTATCGAGGAACAGGAGCTTATCTGACCTGCAGCGGTCGTGGACGAGGATTCGCCGCTGGGATGGTGATCCCTCCCTGAAACTGGAAGGCGATGGTCGTGTCGTCACCGGGTGATACGACCTTCCTTGGAACTCGAGCCTTTTTTCGAAGTCTGGGGAGGACAGACAAGACGCTTGTCGGGCCTTTTAACCACTGCGGTTCCTGAACCATCGTCCGCATCTTCCGGTCGCAGACGTAAAAGAACGTACTTTGGAAAAGAGAGGAAGAATAAACATGAAAGTGAAATATAAAAAAATAAGGAATGCATACATGCATTAAGTAGTGTCTGGCAGTATAGCTAGAAGGTAATCAAACACGCAATCTGCTCAACGCCGGTCCTGTTATGCCCACCCACCCAGAAGTTTGTCCTGCAAGAAACGTCTTCAATAACATAAAAGCATCCCAAATAAGTCATGTAGGCCAACCCCCAATGAAAGTATAAACAAACACCTAACTCGAAAACATTATGAAAACACCCTTTATCCATTAAAGGACCAACCACCGTTGAGGCGCAGACGCTGCCGCTCAGCAAGGTCACGTCGGATCTCGTCCTGTGTCAGCCCATCGGCGCCAGACCAGTTCGCGCTACTCGTACGCTCACGGAACTTCTTGATCTTCTTGTCCGACTTGAATGTCTCCTCCAGGGAGAAGGGAGCAATAGGGCCGAAAATAGAATCCACCTCCATGCCTTCCTGCTGGCGCAGGAGTGATTCCAGTTCCTTGGGCTGGGCCCACTTGGGCACGGGAAGCATCTCCGCATCCGAGTCTTCGTCCTCACTGTCGGTCGCAATCTCGGGAAGGTTGATGTTCTCACCATTCGGATACTTCGGTGACTCCTTGACCGGTGCCTTTTGAGACGCACTAGCGGCGGCAGGAGTTCGGTGTGCAGCCGGCTGCACGCTGGGGGGTTCCGCAAAGGGGATCTTGCCACTGGCGTATTTGGCCATATCCAGTGGATGCCCGGGTCGCTGGGCCTGACCCGTCTTGAAGATTGAGGAGCCGGATTGATGTGCAACAGAAGGCTGTGTATGACCAAAAATGGACGGCTGTGTCGGTTCCTCGTTACACGGTCAGCGCTGCTCAAAGACATTTCAAAAAACTCGCGTAGTACTCACCTTACGAATGTTGGATTGACGGATCGGCGGGGCCATCGCCGGACGCATAGAGGACATGCGGCTTTGCTCATCCTCTGTCCTCCTACGTTTGGTCTCGCCCGACGGCTGCATGGTAGCAGACTTCGGTGCTGTCGGTCGGTGGTTGGCCTCGTCATCAAGCCCTCTCTTGGGCGGTTTAGCGGGGTTGGGTTGGGGCTGGTTAATTGACCGATTAAACGGCTGAATCGAGCCCAGTCGTGAGGCTGGTCTAGCTGCACCAAGCTCGCTGCGTTGACTTGCCTCGGGCTGCTGGCTTCCCTGTCGCTCTAGTCTGCGCTGATTCTCCAAGCGGCGCTTTTCAATGGCTTGCATGTGGGCGGCCTTCTTTGGATCCTCGGCAGCAAGTCGCTCCCGGCGCTCAGCCTCCGCCCGACTGCGCATCTCCTGACGACGAGCTTCTTCTTGCTGCTGAGCTGCACGCTTCCGTTCCAATTCGCGTCTCTGCTCCTCTCGGCGTCTTGCTTCGCGCTCCTCTTGCTCTCTCTTCCTCTCACTTGCAAGCTGGGCTTTTCTCTGCGACTGACTGGATATAGAGCTCTTGAAACTGCTGTTAGAAGAGGCAGTGTGTAATGAGGTATTGCTAGCCTTCTTCTTCAGAGTCGACGGTTTGGAAGCCGAGGCTGGAGTTGGTGCAGGGACGCTAGACTCTCGAGTGTTGGAGGACACTTGCGACGCTAGCGGCATTTGCCGGGAGAGTGCGCTGCCGACGCGAATTGACACGGGCTGAGGCTTCGGTTTCTGGACCTCGCGAGCCGGCTTGAGAGGGCGACGTTCATTTTGCTTTGATGATTGGTGTTGTGAGACGGAACTTGGTGCGGCAAGTTTGGGACCGGCTTCGATGCTAGGCTCTGGTTCCTTGGATGGTTTCTGTAGGTGCGATGTCTTTTGCGTCGGCAACGCGGTAGCTGACTCGGTGGTTGGCGCCCGAGCTTCAGGGTCAGCCATCGGCTTCTCCTGTGGCGCCTTGAGTTTCATGGCTCTCTGTTTCTCCAGTTGCCGGGTTCTCTCCGCCTGCTCCTCTTCCCTTTGACGGTCTTCAAGCTCCTTCTGTTTGCGCTTCTCTTCTCTTTCGGTGGAGCTGCGCGTCCGGCGGCCTTCTTGGCGTGGAGGGCTCTGAGGCTGTGTCGACTGCGGCCGCTGGCTTTCCCTATTACGATCTGTGTCCAATCGTCCTGTATGCCTCAATCTCGGTTGGTCCGGGGAAGCAGATTCGACTCTGGCGGCAGCTGTAACTCCCCCTGTATTCATGAAAAGGCCCTTAGCGGATTGCACGATAGACTGAAGCCGCGATTTGGATGCACTTATCGGACCATCGTAGCGCTCGGCCGGTGAGCCAACCGGGGTTGTGGACATCTGGCTATCAAGATTTGCAGACGCACTCTTCTGATGGCCAGGTCGCTGTGGTGATGAGTAGGACGGTGTTGACGACTTTCCGCGAGTTGCATCTGAGGTGTGCTTAGAGCTACTTCTCGGCTCCTCCGGGGGATGGACATCTCGTTCCCTATCAACGGAAGGACGGTCTTCCTCAGCAGCCCGGGCTATCCGAGCGCTGAAATGTTTGCCCAAGCTATCAGCTTTCTGGCTGGGACGTACATCTGGTCGGTAGGGCGAATTCAGTGGCTTGATCCAGTCGTCATCAGCAGCAGAGTCAGGGGCCGGGGTCTCGCGAGACTTCGAGCCGGATGGCTCCTGCTTGGCTTCGGATTTGGCAGTGGGAAGTTCAGGGTATGTCACCTGCGCAATCGACAAGCCAGGGACGGAAGGAATGGACTTGGTAGGTCGAGAAGGCTGAAGTTTGCCGAGCATGCTGATTTTCTCGTGCAGGAGTTGAGTCGATGACTTGTTGTGAAGCTTGCTGGCCCTAGTCTCGGCATCTCTATCTTCTTCTGTGGCATCTTTCTTGTCATCGATATCCATCTTGTCGCCATCGATATTGCTGTCCTCCGCAACATGCTGGGTCGTCCTATGCCCACCGGTGTGTCTGCCCAGATAACCCCCGGCGCTACTAAGCTTGTTAAGGTCGAGATGGCTCGTGCGGGAAATTCTCGAGCCTCCCAGGCTCTTCTTCGTCAGCGGTTCGCGAGCTGGGAGAGATGCAAAAGTGAGACTGCTCTTGCGAATCGGCGGGCGTACTGGAGATCCTTCCGAAGGTGAGCCGATTTCATCGAGACTATCGAGGGCCATGTCGTCATTTGCGTCATCTTGGTCGTCCTGATGATGTTCTCGAGGTTGCGAAGTTGCATTTGTTGGCGGGCTCGATTCCGTATCCTTAAGCGGACTAGATACTGGCTTTGGTGCGGCTTTCTCCGTGGGCGGGGATTCGCGTCTGGGCGTGGCTTCGGGCTCTTCTTCAGGTTCGGGTTCTTGATGGGCCTGAGCATTTGGTTTTGCCTCTGGTTCTGGCGCATGTTCAGGTTCCAGCTCAACGATGCCCTTACGCGCCGGCTCTTGTTCTGAGTCCACGTCTGACATGATTTCATCTTCAGGTTCCTCCTCAGGTTGCGGTGGTGCGTCATCAACATCCTCTGTATCCTTCGTCGGTGACTTTTGCTTCTGAGGACTTGTGCTAATATTTCGCTTAGGCGATGATGCAGTTACCTCAGGCTCAACTGTTTCTTCGCGTTGGTGCACATCCTCGCGAGCGGAGTGGAAAGACGCCCCTGTAGTACGGCGTTCTTCATGCGGTTGGTGGAGTTGCTCTTCGGCAGCACCAGACTCTTGATCCATGGGCTGAGTAGAGGACTGCGACTCGGGCTGCACTTGTGTAAGGACCACATCATCTTCTTCCTCTTCTTCGTCCCTCTCATCTTCCGGCATGCCGTGATAGCCCGAATCCGTGTTATAATGCGGGAAGGAGTTGAGGTTCTGGGTCAGATCTGGGTACTCAGGTTGTGATGTGTTCTCCGTGGTCTTCTTGGCTTCCGTCGCAGTAGCTGGGCCTGCAGCCGCAGTGACGGTCTTGGTTGGTGAGCGCTGAACAGCCGGGCTAGCACTGAATTTATTCTCCGTCTTGCTGTTGTTGTTTGCGGATGAAAATATCTCGCTCAAGGGCTGGGGGGGCAGTACGTTAGCAGATATCAGGTGCGCAGAACGTAGCTGGTATAACGCACCACTCGAGATTCGTTCGCATCCCGCTTCCGCACTGTACGAGGCGTTTTACCTCGCAGCTTTCCCGGGGTTTTGAAGACATCTGCGAAATTGCTATACAACAGTAAGCGTCAACAACTATGCGTCAAGCCTCTAGACTGGGGCGACCCACGATTGGTTGTTGGAGAAAACCTCGGCCATATGTTCATTCAGCCAATCCATCTCATGGCGCACTGGGTATTCAATCTCCTCCATTTCCTGGTCCACCAGCTGCATAAAATTTTCCTTTTCGGTTGAGATCCACGCTGCAGAGCCTACAGGCTTCTGCGCCCTCGCGCCTGCCGCGGCCATGGCGACGTAAACAAAGCGATCGCACAGCGGGTTGACTGAGTACTATGAAAGGGGCGTAAATGATCGAAGGGCACGGGAGCCCGGTCTAAAATCTAGCGAGAGACAACGATGGGAACATCGAATAGTGGTGGAAAAGGCGATAAGAGTTGACGGTCGACTGGTGAGCTGAAATGGCCTGTCGTCGGGAGTCGAGCATCAAAACATCGGCAAACGCGTGAGTCCCGCCATGGCACGTGACGGTGCATCATACTTGGTGCCTGATATATAAGGCATCAACGTCGGTTTTACGCAGGAGAGGAGTTCAATCATACACCAGACACAATCATCACTCATGGTAGTTGCAATGCGGAGTAGCTGCAAATAACCCCTGAGGCGTTTTTCTGGCCATTTTGACTTTTCTGGCTTGATTCTACGGTGTATCTATCTATTTTCCACTCCCCTTTCGATAAGCATCGCTACTAGTCCCGCCCTATTGAACCATGTTGGTACCGCTCATTCGAGAGCTGTCCTTAGACCAGGAACTGACGTGGGCGGAGTGTTTCTTCATGTAACATTGATGGTCCCTTGCTGTGCTCATGGGGCTCACATGAGGATCACTGCACCGCCAGCTGTCCCTGTGCACAGTGCACCGATCTAGACTATCAACCAGCCTCCAATATGTAGTATAACCGGACCGGGCAGTTTCACAATTGAGAGGTGACGGAGGAACCAGTCAATGTGCCGCGATAAAGAGGAGAGATGGCGTTCTTCTCCATCAGTCTTTGGAACCATTATCCAACGTTGACCACTTTATGACCCGGTCATGACATCATCTCAAGAGTGCAAAGGGTAGCCGTACAGAGGGTTCGTAAATCCATTCTTGAACTCGGTAACAGAGCAGCAAATAGCCAGAAGCTCGCTCGAAAGATCCGATGGGAAAAGTCCGGGGCGTTACTCAAGCATCGAGTGGGTTGGGAACTTTGCAGATTTTCTGCATGGGAAAGGCAGAGGATCCCGGATGAGGGAGGAGAAGCAAAGGGCCATAGCTGGGATGGGTGATGGAATGGTTCGAGTAGATCGTAAGTTGAATAGTCAACCATGGAGCCAACACCTACTTACTTCAGGTAGACTCGTGTATCGGAACCCCTTGCATTACGCCCACACCGTCTTGAAAGAGGGATGAGAAACCGATCATAAATATCCAGTAGCTCATTAGCTAGAGAGATAACCAATCTGTAGACAAGACAATACCTTGTAGTTAGTTAACGGCTGGCCAGACTAACTAAAAGATAGTCCGAAACACCGGGTCCATCGTCACATGCGGGCCCTTTCCGCTTGGAAGGCGCGAGAAAAAGGCCAAAAACCAAGCAAAGCAAAAGCAAAGCAAAGCAAGCAAGCAAGCAACTCAGCACACGATCATTGCATCACCCGCTCACTCTCCTCTCCTCTTTCTCCCTTCTCTTTCTCTCCTTATCCTCTCGCCCATTCTCACCCCTCCATCGCCAACTCTCTTCGTCTTCCCTTTTCTTTCCTTCTTGCCTCGGTCGTTCTCTTCGTCTTCCCTTGTATTATTTAATTTCAACCCGCCTTGAAACTTCCCCTGAACCCGCTTTCTAGTCCCCGGCACTTTCCTCCTTATCTTTTCCTCCCGAAAATCCTCCAGACCTTCCGAAACGCACACACGACTTTCCACCATGGCTGACGTGAGCTACCCCGACACAAATGGCCACAGTAAGGTACGGGGTGTCGCCGGTTTTCGTGTTCTGCTGTTTTGTGAGGACGCATTGAAGCTGATTTAGTCTCTGATCGCAGTTCCGAATCTCCCACGCACATGCTCCCAGTGTTTGTTACACGAACTGACCGTTACTCCCTCGCTTAGGCGCACTCGCAAAGGGTAAATAGCTGGCTCCAGGCACACCTGCTTCGTGTTTACCGCTCGAAATTGGTGACTTCATGACCAATTGATCTGACATACACTCGATTTAGGCCCCATTGCCGAGAACATCAAGTCCGAGGCGTCCCGCACTGGTCAAGAATTCCGCGACTTGAGGAACACTAGCCCTTCATCTACCACTGCGACCGGTCAACCCTTGACTTGTACGTTTTGACACAAATCAGCTTGCAGGCGCTCTCTGCTGACCCGGTCCAGACTACCACTCGCTGCTGTACAGCCTTTTGAGCGTATGTGATCTTGGATGCCGCCAGGCGCGTCACCGTCTAATTGATTGTTGTAGTGGGAGCAACCCCGAGCTACCGCCATCTCTTTCGCGAGTGTCGTCACATTCATCTTTGCCGCCCGTTACCTTCCCCTCCTCCGTTGGTTCTTCAAATTCATCTATGTGGTTCTGGGATGTAGGTTTAATCGCGGGTCCCACCCAGGAACAACAACATGTGCTGATCGCCGATTGTACTAGTCACCGCTATTGTCGAGGTCGGCGGCAGACTTGCTCTGTCACAGAGTGTCGTGAGCTCATTCCGGCCTCGCAAGTACTACACCGTGCCCAAGGAGACAATCGAGGCTGTGTTGGAGGACCTTGAGCAGCTCATCGACTTTGTCCTCATTGAGTTCCAGCGTGTTCTGTTCGCCGAGAACATTGTCCACACCATTGCAGTACGTCCAAGAAACACCAGTTACTGGCGACTCGGGCCAATACTAAAACAATGTGCAGTCTTTCTTTGCCGCTTTCACCGCCTACTGGTTGATCAAGTTCCTTCCTTTCTGGGGACTGTCATTGATTGCGGTCACCATCGCCTACATGGGACCCTTGGTCTACATCAACAACCGTGAAGTCATCGATGCCCACATTGAGCACGCGCAGGAAGTTGTCAACAGCCAGGCCCACCAGCTGAAGGATCTTGCTGAAGAGCGCACTGCCCATGCCACGGGTGTTGTGAGGCAGTATGTTGGTGACTACAGTGCCAAGGCCCAGGGATACATGCGTCGCTCTGCCACCCCCGAGATGGCTCGGGCACCCGCCCCCGTTATCAAGAAGGAGCCTGAAGCCGAGCCCGAGATCAAGACGACTGATTTCCCGGAGGCACCCAAGGAGGAGCCCGTGGCCACCCAGGAGCCCGTTGTGGAGACGATCGAACAGCCTGCTGAGCAGGTGAAGTCGGAGCCTCTTCTGGCAGCTTAGGGAACCGAGGCCTTTCATACTTGATCGGCTATTGGTCGGGATTACTCGGGTGATGGACTTGTGGGAATTGCGGGGTAGGTGCAGGGGTGATCAGAATTGGTAGCAGTGACATCCAGGTAGGATGAATTGGTTGGGTGCATGATGAGTAACCGGAATGATGCGTTTCGAGGGTTTGCGGATTATAATTGTATGTTTCGATGCTGGCTGCGACTTATGCTGCAACTTGTCGAATGTAATCACCGTATGACTTGATTTTCTGTCGGATTAAACTTTGCCTCGGATTTAGTGCCAGTACTACGGAGGAGTGACGTAGGCAAGCCAGTCGGGAGTATGTTGATACAGCGTTTCATGTCACGATGGATATCACGCGGTGGATACATGGTATAAATCCCAACGCATGCCATCATAAAGTAGTTCAAGTCCATACGACAACACTCAATGTTTGAATAGTACTTACGTGCAGCCCTATGATACCTATATCCGCGGGGCCAGACCTATAGACCTATGGGGCCTACCTAAATTAGCCTGAGCGGGAGCGGCAACGGGAACCAAAAAGACTAGTAGCATAGCAGCTATACCCGGAAACATAAAAAGGAAATTGCTGTGCATCATCCGTGAATCGAACACGGGCCTCATCGATGGCAACGATGAATTCTACCACTAGACCAATGATGCTTGTTGATGGAAGAGTTGTTTTTATAATACTTTATAGCCCAGCAACACGTACAGTGAAACACGCATCCAGTATCCGTGCACTTGGTTCAAATCCCGAATGTCAACAATTACCTACCGAGCAAAAATCTACAAGTCACCTCGACACCTGCCCTTCTAGTTCTAGTAGGTGATCAGTGCCGCCTGTAGGTCGCGCAACGAGGTAAATGGGGCGGGTGATGGGGGGTGAGGGTCATCCAATGGTCCGGCGTGGTCTGGAAATAAACTCCGCGTGGTCTAGCACTAAACACAGAATAATACTTTTCTGTTTTGACTATATTGAGCTATACCAAGAATAATTTCAGATCATGATAAGATATATTAAGAATATATCTAAACTATAAAAGATTTACATCCTACTGTCGTACAATACTATCAGTCTTTCTTTTCCCAAATCATGCATATTTATCTTATATATATATATAGTGTATGCAATTATAGTATAAGGTTGAATTATAAATAGATATACTAAATATATACTCAGTATAAATAAATAAAGTATATATAACTTACAGAAAGCAGAAAATAACTTTTAATATATACAGAAAAGATACTGGGGTACTGTCATAGAACAACTTAGGGAAGTTGTACACACAAGGCCTAAAAAGACCATCATTACCCGCAGCTACCTGCGGACCCCTAGAATTCTGCTTATATAGACATGTATACACGGGAGTAGGTGGTCGCTACCACCAGTCTATTAAGAATATCATCGCACATCAATTGTTCGTTCATTAAGGCGTATGAATATCCGTGGTGCCTGTTGATTTCTTGCGTTGCTCCAATAACGCAGCCACGTCTTCCAATGAGCTCAACTCACACCACACGCAGACTTTTCGATTTACGTCCTTCAGGGCCACACCCCAGTCGTTTAAAATCACCTTGCCGGTTGTACACGGGCCAATGGGCTAAAGTGCACCGATGGAAGTTGATGATCAGGGCTCGCTGGAGCTCAGCATTCCATAATACGTTTTCCAAACGTAGATCCTGGTGGCAAATACCCAAGGAACGGATTTCCTTTACCGACTGAGAAATCCCCGCCGGGATAGTTTTGTCCAGAATTATGTTATTTAAACTCTCGCCACCCCAGCCCATTAGTAGCATATGGCGAATTCTTCCCGCGCCATGTGTAGTCCCTTTCCCGAGAACAGTATATCCGAAGGTGGTACAAGTAATTTTGAACAGTACGCCGTAGTCCCCCCGAGTGCCTATAGGAGTGCAGTTCTGATCTAAATCTTGATCAAGCTGCGCCTTGAGCTCCTTCACTAAGTCAGCTGTGCTGATAAGGTGGCGACCCTCCCTTCCGCCGAGCCTATGCAGCTCGGTGCTTGGTCAGTCCGGGTCGAATGTGCTCCCTTGCTGTAGCCCAAGAAGGCACTTTTGTGTACAATACTGAGCAGCGTGTGGGCGAGATTGCCCGCTTTGATTCGCTCGAGGACCTGCCTGAGGTGCAGAGCGCTGGGCTGGAGGGGATGATGTGACCTGGCTGAACCCCCGCTTGCGTCCAGCAGATGCAACAGGATCTACCTCAGAATCAGAAGAGTCCCCTTGGATATGCTGGTCAGATGATGGCGCGCCCCAGACACTGCTCGCGTGGGCACTCGACGACCCTCGACAGCGGAAGATCCCGCAGGAGACGATGAAGGTATATACTCAGAGGTACTCTGCTCAGGACTAGTGTATTCGGAGCAGGCATAGTCCAGCTTTGGATTCTGTGGTAATTCCGTCGCTGGGATCTGGGAGCGCTCGCTATCGAAACTCGTGTGCCATTTCGGCAGCTTGTTTGCAGCAGCATTGCGCCAGGCTTGATCACGAAAAGGAGTGCGAAAGCTCATCAAACAAGCGCATAAAGCTCTCTCGACTCTGGTGTGCGGCCCCTGAGCATTGGTATCTGGCCCGCCTACATCGTAGTGTAATGTAGCTGGATCGTCGAAAGGCACCCATAGTTGCACATCTATAAGGCCGTTCGTAATGGACGAGCATCCGACTCCATATTCTATCATCCCATGGAATTGTTGAACGGCCACTGACCCAGCCAACCGCGCAGCATTGTATCTCTGCTTCTCCGGCCCATCTGTTGGTACAATGTCTGGTTCAACGATCTCCTGCCAAAATTTCATCGGTCGAAATCCTTCGCGTATGATTTATACCGGAAGTTTATGAGATACTTTGTATTCAATAGTAATTAGTAAGGTATTTATATGACCATCAACGCGGTGGATGCAGAATTGATCGGGCCTAGACATTTTGGTATCCGATCCCGACCGTTCAACCTCATCCAGCGCATTAGCATGGTTGTCGAATCATACACCATCACCAAGCCCAAATTCTTCGCGGGCTGCGGGTATCTTGCAGAGCTCCGAGATTATATCGCGCACATGATCTTCTAAGGCAAATCGCTCGTAACTCTCAAGATCTTGTTCACTGCTGATCGGACGAAGTGCGAAACGCCGACTAAGTCCCTCTTGGACATTGGCCTCCGAATTCGAGATTTAACGTTAGCACTTATTATAAGTTATATTAGTAACGCTACGGATCTTCGTGATGTCTGGTACCATGCCGAATGCCGCTGGTAACGAACAAGGCTCACCATTATGATATAAGATATAGAGTGTGAGCATTCTATGCTATAAGTTAGAAATATAGAAAGTTGAGCACAGAAGTATGCCTTTACGTCGCAACGAGAGTTCCTAGCAGAGTATGTTTGGCAATTCACAACAAATAAGCTTCGCGATCGGCGATCGGTCTTTGCGAGCCCCGACGGCCGACACCGTGAGGTGGATACCCCACTTTTTTTCGTGCTCTCACGCAGTGACGGTATATCGGAGGTTCTTTTCCCCATACCTCGGAGATAAGATCAGACCTGTGAGTTCCGGGAGAGTAAGTCGTCACCATCCTGGGTTTCACCTGGCTCCGGCAAGCTTATATGTAAAAACCCTTGCCAGTACCCTATCCTTCCTTTGACCACATTGATCTCGGACAAGTTAGTCAAGATGTCACCCGATTTTGAAAACGATGTTATCCTTCTCACATGTGCCAGCGGCAAGCAATGTTCACAGCTGATTCCTCTACTCTACGGCAAATGGAAACGCCTACGCCTTGCTGTACACAGCTCATCCTCTGAGAAAGTCCTCCAAGAGCAGTATCCCAACGCCCATGTTATCCGCGGAGATATGGCATGTGCTGAAGACGCCCGACGTATCTTGTCTGGAGTCTCAAGTGTTCTCTATATCGGCCCGTCCGTTCATAGCAATGAATCTCAAGTTGGGTTCACAATGATCGACGCGGCATTACACGAGGCGCAGCATGGTGGCTTGAAACACTTTGTCTACTCCTCTGTGTTGCATCCACGGATCCGAAAGCTCATGAATCATGATAGCAAGCGATATGTGGAAGAATATCTTATCGAATCCGGGCTTAACTATACAATCGTCCAACCAAGCCATTTCCTTGATCCGCTTCCGGTGTCACAATTGCTACAGCAAGAGACACCTATCTTCTCGGCAAAGTTTGACCCTGACATCACATTTTCGTTTACCGTTCTCAAAGATCTGGCGGAAGCATTCGCGAAGATTCTGAACGAGCGAGAGAAACACTATCTGGCCGAATACACCGCCTGTTCTACTGGTCCTACCTCATACACAGATGTCATATCTGTCCTGGGCAAAGAAATTGGCAAACCAATCCAGATCGAGCTACTGGAATATTCCAAGTCTGCGGAAATCTTCGAAAAAGCTATCGCCGGGAATGGAGCTATACCACGGACTACCCGCGACACCATTCAACGGTTAATGCTCTACTACAATTTCTACGGGATTAAAGGGAACACAAATGTGCTTGAGTGGTTACTGGGGCGGAAGCCGACAACTGTCCAAGAATTTCTTCACCAGAAGGTGCTCGAGTGTAAGGGTCCTTAGAGGATTATATTTTAGGGTCTGTTGTCATATTATACCCTCTTTGATGTTGATAATCGTAATTATATTTGTGTGGTGGACGTTCTCCATCACAAATATTTCACATTCAGCCCGAACTAGTGACCTCACGCAATCAAGGGAAACAATGTCGGTCTTAATTTATGCATAACAAACCTCAGTTTTCGGATGTGAGGAGTGAGGATCAACCCTTTCCCTGTATTATAGAACCAACTACAGCTCTCAACTCAAAACGAGCCATAATGAGCAGTAGGAACCAAACTTGGTTTGAACAATACAGTGATGAATATCCTGCCACCTTCGTACACATATTGCTAAGACTTTCAGCCTAACAATGACTTCCAGTGGAGATCGGGATGTATTCCGGTCATGTGACATCATAGGAGCCGGATTTAAGAAGTCGGGGGGCCGAATCCCCGTACGGCGATCGGCCAGCCGAATCAAGAGTGACGAGTAAATTAGCTAACTGACCCTCTAATTCTTCAAGGCACTACAGTCGTACCTGGAACTTAAAAAATGGACATTAGCCTCGGATTGTCTTCCAATCCTGCCCATCTTAACTCCCTCACTCGTACCGATGCTTTGAAGTACTCGACTTCCCTCTTCCCTTGATTATTCTGGAAATTAAATACGAATCGCATTCGACATCATCCATCATAATGATCGATTTCATTCGCCATCATTGGTATGACCTGGGCGTCATACCATTCTTTCTCTCCCTTCGATACCTCCATCTGAATCGATCTAAATTATCGACTTCGCAGAAATTCCTCCTTGCCAATTTCATGACAGTTTTGGTCCATCAGTTTGAAGAATATCGCTTCCCGGGGGGTTTTCCTGTCGCAATGAACCTGGGTGTACACTCTAGCGATCGACCTGACCGGTTCCCTTTGAGTTCTCAATCTGCGACTTTCACCAATGTGGTCGCCACTTACGCATTCTATCTTCCTCCTGTGTTCTTCCCTGACCAAGTTTGGCTTGGACTGGCACCGTTTCTCTTCGGATTTGGACAGTTCTTCATTCATGGTATCAACATGAATATGAAGCTGGGTTCATTCTATAACCCAGGATTAGCATCTGTGGTCCCCATGTACATTCTCGGTTACTACTACATTCGTTACATGACACAGAGTGGTCAGTTGACAGGGCGTCAGTGGGCGCTTGGTCTGGCCTATGCCGCTGCATTTTGGTATTTGATGCTTATCAAGTCTACCTTTGGTTGGCTCGCGGATGACAACTCGCCATATCCCTTCCATCCGGCTGAGATGGAACGCGGAGGAATGGCTGCTTGGATTAGACGCGTTCGCGGTCAATGAGTACGGCGGTCACGTGCGTTCGCTTCACGCAGTCGGATGATACAATCTCCCGGGATATTATTCACACCCTGCGGTAAGATTGGTAAGGTGTGTAAGGTATTTTGGAGGCGAGTAGCAGAGTGGGATTGTTGTGTTATCAGGTCAGGATAAGCAGGTAATATCCACTAACAGTCAAAACATGTATTCTACTTTATTCACAATAGTAATGAGATACATACTATCTCTCTATACGACAGCCAAGTCCAAGACAAGTGCCAGACGCTACCAGATATTATGAAAAAGCGAAAATTTGCGGGTGCGAAGCCTGTAAGGAGTCTAGCTCTCGGACTTTTTCTCTCATTGCGTCACCGCGAAGGCTAGCTGTCCTCGAGTTTGGTGGCATACAATGCTATATACAGTAATAACGAATAATCTCTTCGCTGTATAGCTAAGGAAGGGAGCTTGTCAATAGGAGAGGTGACTAGAGACTGATTGCGCGAACTGGTTGCAGGATCTACATATACACAATTAGGAGGACGACGAGATATAAGGATGTGACTGAGAATTGATCATAACTTCTCCTCCGATTTAATTGGAATAACAATGTTAATGGATTCTGCCGAGCCTACCTAGCCTTCGGTGCGGTAGCAATCTGTACCTCCTTTCACCTTCATATACTCTTACGTCCAGTCCACCGGACTGTGGCCGCTAAGAAGTTGATATAGCTGAAAGATACCAAACGCACATTATCCGATGAAACTACCATGCAAGTGCTTCCCTGAATATCACCCATGCCAAGTGATACTCCTGTCTTGTAGAAACTCCTGTATGCCCCAGATTGCGTTCGGTCTCCCCCAACTGCTGCCCTTCACACCACCCTGCGGATCGGTTGCTGATAATGTGAATCTGCTAGTGCTACCCCTAAATCCTCAGATCATACCAGGAACTTATAACTTGTATACAATGTAGTAAAGTTGAGGTGTACTTGTCTGTATTCCAAAGAATTGAAATAGAATATGAATATCAAGCGGGTGAGGTGTTGTACAAAAGAAGATCAGAGTCAAGGTCTTCGAGTTTCCACTACACATATGTAGCCCTAGCAGCGGAATCCAACTCGGAAACATTCAAAAAGGAGCTCTCTTCGGCGTTAGGCTCCAATGAAGCCCACACTTGGACAACCCTCGTCGCCCTTGCTGTCAATGTCAGATTTACATAGGCTCGGGTTTTCCGGTGCTCGATAAACATAAACTCTTTTGCGTCTCACGTGGGTCTGACCCACCTTGCGGATCGGCCAGCTTTCTCTTATTGATCCCCCCAGGAACGCAGGCTCTAGACCCGGACTTACCGGTTTTACGGGGTTCGGAGGTTTTGTTTGCATGCTCCGAACTCTTTGTGGTCGTTCTCTAGACTTTGGGTGTTGGCATATCGGCCTGTCGGCCCTTGGTGACGCCGATTGTGGATCAAGTCCATAACAGTCTACGCAACGAGAGAGGTAGGTGCGGGGTAGTCGCAATCTAACGGCAGACGATCTGGTTTATTCCCTCACCATTCAATTTGAGTATAATCTACTGAGCTTCTTTCCTTTCATAGCCAGAACATAAGATACAAAATTGTCTCAATCATGGTGGTGCCATTGATTGCGCTCGAAGAGCATTATTTCTCATCTGCGGTCACTCAAGATCAGAAAGTCGATCGTTACGCTAGTTTCCCCCCTCATATCCCGGTCAAATTGAGGGCAGTCGGTGACGATAGGATACGAGACCTGGATAACGGGAATATCAAGCTTCAGATCCTTTCGCATGCTCCTGGCATTAGGTCTCCACCTCTATGTACCGCAGCCAACGATGAGCTTGCGTCGAAGATATCTAAGCACCCGACCCGACTGGCTGGCCTTGCTATGCTTCCTATGGACGATCCAGCCGACGCTGTAACCGAGCTTGAGCGGTGCATCAGGGAGTTACACTTTGTCGGTGCCTTGGTGGATAACCATGTCAACGGAGAGTTTTATGACAATCGACGCTTTTGGCCGGTCTTTCAAAAGGCAGTGGAACTCAATGTGCCGATATACATTCATCCTTCCTTCCCAGCAGACAGAGAGCAATACGAGGGTAACTACAGTGATAGGATTGCCACTGCACTTAGTGCTTTTGGTTGGGGGTGGCACTCGGATACTGCCCTATGCCTTTTGAAGTTGTTTGCCAGTGGGTTCTTCGACTGCTTCCCTGAGGCTAAGATAATAATAGGACATATGGGAGAGATGATCCCATTTCAATTAGAGAGAATCATCACGGTGGCAGATACCTGGGGCCTGAAACGAGGGTTCAGGCAGGTCTGGAAGGAGAACATATGGGTTACGACGAGCGGCATGTTCGCCCTTCCTCCTCTGCAATGCTTGTTACAGACGACCGATATCAGCCACGTCCTCTATAGCGTCGACTATCCGTTTTCGTCAAATGAAAAAGGGCTCGCTTTTGTTGAGGAGGTGCAGAGAAGCGGCCTGCTTTCGGAAGATGACTTCAAGAAATTTGCCTTCCGCAATGCAGAAACATTGCTTGGTGTGAAAGCTGAATAGATCGATAGATAGTTTTGAGCCTCATCGGGGTTACGCTAAACTCTCTTTTAAGCTGTTTATAACGATTCTATTTACGCTAAATTTTCCTGAATCACCAATATCTTGCGCATGTCTAATCCCCGATATAGACTCTTCTCGCAGTCATAGGACAAGTTGATTATTTCCATTGTACATGGAGAGAAATTAGGAGAGACCGTTCGGCACACAAGGTCATGTGTTCTAGAAAGGAACTGATTCTTGGCCTCCATGAAGCGCTTTGCGCGTTTCATTGAGACTCCTGGCTCCATGAATGGGGAAAGAGCAAACTTGGTCCATGAGAACTAGTCACTGAGGCATGCGTGTGGTGTGTTGAGTCAGATCCATCACGATGTTACATACCGCACGCTTCTTCCATGTCTTTGTCTTGTTCCATGCACACATAGTCTGTGTGTGGCCACACAGTACACGGAGATGTGCATAGGATTGGCGTCGTGTGTTTACACTTTATTGTCCTATTGCCAGTCCGAAATCGCATGGCAGTCATCTTCCGTATCTGCAGTTCTCTTTCGTGGACTCGGGCCGCCAATAATAGGTCACAAATTCAAATTGCATGAACTAGCCGCGGAAATACAGGAGGCAGTCCCAAGGGCATCAGCGTATATTATCAGAGGAAGTAGGAAACCTCCACCAACACCCATTTCTGTGAAGACAGAATGATCCTTTAGGGAAGACCTCCTCCTCCTCTTGACGAGAGGTCTTTCAGGCATGCTGGTAAGTTTTCCAGCTCCTGTTTCAGTACGTCTGGGTCATCACATTTCCGAGCCGTGTCGAAATCGATCAACGTAGCTTTAGAGTCGTGGATAAGAAAATTGAATCGATTTGTATCCCCATGGAGGATCCCTAAGCCATGTAGCCGAGACAAGACCTCCCTGCAGGTTTCAACATCCTGAGCGCCCGCGTGCCTCGCGTTGCTTATGTGTTCCATCAAGAATCCAATCACCCGGCCGTCTTCAGTCAAGTGACCTAGAAATCGGGGCCCGATGTCATGTCCCGATATCCATTGATATGCGGAGGTTTCGTTCTCGATGTATTGAATCTCCCAAGGGAAGCGGGCGAATTTGGCGACAGCAGTACAATCAAGGGAGGGGCTCTTGACCTCGTAGAGACCCGTTCGTAACTTTCGTCCGACCGAAAGCCCCAAGTAGTCCACATATGTCCCATGCCAGTGATTTCGCACCCCAGGAATTTGAGTGGACTTGACGGAAGCAAAATATGCTCTGCCGTTCTTTGCGTCTTTGGTGACTAGTCCATCGTTCCAATCGCCGGGTGGGAGTTCTGGCAGGATCGAGGCTAAAGAAGGGCCAAAGTACATATCTTCGGCGCTGTAGACGCCAGGGTCGATGGTAATGTATTTTATGGACTGATTGTCGACCAGAAGGCGGAAAAAGCTTTGGTCATCCTCGTCAACTTCGGCTTGAAGTAGCTCGATCTTTCGCAGGTTTCCCATTTCGACGTCAGAAAGGTCCGCGTTCTAAGTTAATCTGGAAGAGTGGTGGGCCCGTGAGGGCCTATTCTCCTCAGCGCCATCTTCCCTGTCTCCTAGCCGACCCAATATTAATGCGTCAGTAAATCAGCTAGCAAACCGGCGTGGACACGAAGGGAGGATAAGGGTCAAGGGTGAGTGTTGGGGTGTTGAAGAGGTGAGCGAATCACCACGGATGGGTGAGCAAATCACCTGACTCACCCGGCTCACCCTCTTAAAGCGGCAATGGCCAAAAGAGGAAAGAAAAGTGTCCCCGTAGATTTCTGAACGATAGAAATTCCTACCTAGTACCCCTGAAACCTTCTATTCGATCTTTCACCCATCTTCAATGATATAATTCTGTGTCTATACATGCCAAGTATATTTAAAATACTCTTAGTCAACCCCTACTAAAAGCAGCAGTTAGGCAAAAAGCCAAGCAGTCTAGGTTATGCTCCCCGCACCCTGACATATATTTATACTATTTGTCACAAGGCAACTATACAGGCATAGATTGCATGCAGGACATGGATCAGCAAACTTCAATCAAATTTCAACCGCCAATATAATATGATCATGCATACACGGTTACGCCACTACTCATCACTGCTTCAAATTACCTAGTCATGTCGCTCAAAGTAGAGACAAAAGGTACTAAGATGAAAAGGGAAAGAAAGAAAAGAAGGGTTGACTGACCTCAAAAAGGCAAGTAAGTAGGGAACGACAATCCACAATACATAGTAGTTTTAGTACTCTAGAGCAATGCAGTAAAACCGGATATACTTAAATCAAATATCGATTCAAACCCCGCAAAATCAATAATCTGAACCCCAGAAAAAGAAGCAACATGGCTTAGCTGAACAAGCTTCTGCCTCTGCACTAGCCAAGAAAAAACCGAACATGACAGCCAAGTAAACAATATACCCGATAAATAAATAATTGAACGGCGTTCAACTGAAAGCATATCTAGGGATGGATGGATGGATGGATGGATGAGTGGATGGATGTACACGCAATCAGGCAGTTAGCATTTCCTGAGATTGGAAGGAGAAGAGGCCAATGCACGATATCTATGTATCTATGTATCTATCTGTTTTATCACCATCGTGTGTAATGTGTGTATATTATAGTCACAGTAGAGAAGAGTACCACGGAGTAAGAGCAGCTTCTTACCCCGCGACAACAAACCAAACCAAACCAAACTTGTTTCCACTCCCATGAAACTGGGAACTGGAGGGGTTGTTTGTGCCTTGCAAGTGTCAGTTGAAACAGATTCTGGAGTAAGGCAGGTAAGATCTACCAAGATCTGAACGAGGCCAAAGCACACGGAAAACACTGCAAGGCATCCCTTGCTTTTCGAAACAAGATCTGAAGTTTAAAGAGAGTTGGCAGGCTGGGTAACTCGGTGCCTTTTTTTTCTGTCTCTGGAGGAGGTCGAGTTGGTATAAGAGGTGGGTATGTTTCCTCTTCTTTTCACATCCTGGGATCATGTTAATGGTCATTGTCTATACTACTGAGCTGTCTTCAGATTCAGGATTCTCCCTTCTGCGGGCTGGTTCGATTAGTCTTCTGTATATCGTTATGTACACCAACTTTTCGTTTCAAGTCTTTAACATCCTCCCCCTCCCCCGTTCCCCTCATTATATGTACCTGAAAAAATCGCAACCGAAAAAAGATGAAGAAGGGAAGACAAAGCATGTATCCTGGGGTTGATGGTGCTCTCGCCGCACTGGTGAAAATATTAAGTAAGTATTATGGTATATGAGTATGTCCCTTCTTTTAGGCCGTTCCTCCCAATAACCGCATTACATGAATGACGAGGACAAAAGAAACAAGGAAAGAAAGAAAGAGGAAGACACGACCGTTATCACGCCCTGCTAAAACCCCAACCGGACCCGAGAAACAAAGGAAACAAAGAAAACCCATAACAAAGGGAAAAGAAGTCTAATAATTAAAGTAGTAGGGATGTGTGCAGCTCCCAAGATCTCCGGAAAGCCCCATAACAGGTAAGGACTGCTGTGCTTGGCTGTGTGGGTAATACTTCATTGAATAAGGATTGGCGTCCAAGGTTGTTGTCGCGGCTGCTGCCGCTGCCGCTGCCGGCTCCTGGTGGAACATGGCCCCTCCGGTGAGGTCGAGAGAATAGTCGCCCTCGCGGTGACGCTTTAACGGCGCGAACGAGGCCGATGCGTCGGTATCCCATGCTGTAGGGATAGGAGGCTTGCAGGGGTCTGACGCCTTCGATGTGGGTGGCTTTGACGTGAGCGGGGATGTGGTGGCGGTGGACGGAAAGACGGATGTGTGTGATTCGAGATCAGGAATTTCCTTCCTATAGACGGGATTGCTTTCCTTGAGGGTCTGGGTGGGTGAGCCCAGAGTTTGGGAGTCGGTGAGCTCGGGGAGGTGGACGCGGGAAACGCAAATCACGGCGGAGCCATCTGCAGTTGCTAAGTATGAGACATGTCCAAAAGACCCAATAACCCAATAGTGGATGGAAAGCGCTTACCTGTTCGACCGTCTAGGTATCGTTCTTCCTCCTCTCGTACGTGGTAGATCTCATCGAGCACGGGGATACGTTCGACGGGAGCGATTTGGCGCCGTACAGACTGGTCGGCTTCCTTCAATTTCTCCACGCAGATAGCGTGACTTTCACGCAGCTCGCAGAGAATATGGACAAGCAGGCGGATACGCTCTACATCCAACATTAGCGCGACTGATGGACGAAGCAGAGTGATGAAATACACACCCGCCTTCAGAAGATGATCTGGTTCACGGTGAGTAACACCCGCCGGCCACCAGGCTGGCTTGGTCAGCTCAGGGTCAAATTGCTGCGATGATCCGGATATGATCTTGCGTCCATTGTATGGATAGTTGACTTGTTTCCGGGGCTCCACGAGCTTGATGTATGCTTTGGCCAGAATGCGACAGTTGATCTGCTGCAGGCTGTCAAAAGCCTTCTCGTAGTATCTGCGCAGAAGGCCGGTGTTGCGCACGGGCAGCATGGACTTCTGGTGACAGGTGATGCTCATGGGAACGAGGCATTCATGGGATACCCGCTTCCTTTTGGACTGAGGAGGTTCTGTGGTGGAGTGGAACCTGAAGATGATCAGTGGTTGGGTCGCATTGCGATTGAGAAAGGGCGCAAGTACATTTGTTTAGCTGATAGATCGCTGGCGCTGGGAGATTCTGGGGAGAGTGGGCTTCTGCCTCTGATGTCTTCTGTTGTTGTGTTGGTGTCAACAAAGTATCCGTGCGAGACGTCAACAAGGAACCCTACCGAGCATTTTGGATGGATCACCTTTGCCCGACAGTGCCACCGCACGCAGAAAGTTTTCCGTCACGCTGGGGGAGAGGATCGTCTGGCAGTTATTCGCGATGGATTGCGAGGCCTCGAAACGTAATTTGCCATTGTCGTCTATGTAGATGAGGGCGAAGTGCATACAAGCCAGCCCGTCTAATGGCGCATCCATGGACACGGGAGTGTGAGACTGGCACAGTCAGCTTGCGTTGCCATAACAATCGCCACAGCCATCAATCATACCATGGAAGCAGAAAGCAAGAGATGTGAATGTGATGACTCTCAAGGGATCAAGGTATACTTTTCAGTGGGATGACCTGTAAGAGTTCGATCAGGCTTCTGGTCGCAGTCGCGCAGGAGACAGAGAAGAAGCGTGTACAGTTGAAAGAAGTGAGACTCAGAAGCAAGGCACGAGAAGGAGCATTTTTAAAAGAACAGGACTGAGGCAAGAGGCAAAGGCCAGCAATATTGCAAAGAGAATGGGGGGAGTGGCCAATAGATCCACTCGCCGTGTTAAGCTTACCGGATCGTCCTCAACCTGGGCTTCAGCTTCGTTTCGTTTCCGGATCCGCGACGCCCCTCATGCAATCTTATATGCGTGCGCGAATATATTTCCTGTCTCTATTAGAAATTATTAAACCGTTGGCTCGCCTCCAGGACCGCGTCCGAAAAGGAAGGAAAAAGCAACTCAAGTTCTGACTAGGCTATAGTACTTCCAGTACACCGTAATGATGGACCGTCGCAACCAGATCAGTGGATCGGCCCAAGCTGTGTCACTAATGTGCGTGGCCCTATGTGGCACAGCAGCCGACGGGTCCTTATCCGCTCGCATGCATTTGGGCGTAGGAACTAATGCTATGCTGCGTCGTTGCTTCCAATCACCGAGCTCGAGAGAGAGGGTCATGTTGAAATCCGGTCCTGCTGGCAGTCTTGGAATAGAGAAAGTGGCTAGCTATCAGAGTGGATCTTTCAAGAGATTGTTTCGCCACCCCCGGTTGGTCATATCTCGAGATCATAGTCCCATTTCCCCAAGCTGGGGTTTGTTTGATTGCTATGGAATACGCCTTGTGGATGAATCTGTGTTGTGTACGGGGTAGCATGGACACTACCATTTTAGACAGTCGTGCCGTAGCAGGTTATGCCACCTGCTAGCAAGGTTAGCAAGATCGCCTCGAGCCGAGGGTCCAATAGGGCCGCTGGCGCATTAATGGAGGCTGCAATACATACTCTATCTCGTTCGATAGCATGCGGATGTGCCATTTCGTCTGCCTACCTTTTCCCGTTATGGAAGACTTCGTGTCTTATTTTCTCCTATCTACGCGATTGCCTCTTCCAGATATTGCTTTATTCTACCGAACACCCTCCCCTTGCCTGATGCGTCGGGTGTCAGACAGAGAAAGGTGCAGTTTGTCCATCCATGGTTCACTCCGACATCCGACCTGGCTGGCCGGCGGGGCAGACGCTGTCACCAGATAGTAGCCAACACGCCAGGCACCATATCGGATCATCCCGAGGAGGACATTTGTCATGGTACTAGCAAAAGTCAATAGCGGATGGTCGAGTACCGTAGGCCCGGAGGGGCTGGAGGGCGGTTCGTTCTACGTGGACCACCGAATATCTCAAAGCGATGCACCGGACATGCGACGGCACCTCCCACTTCCGGTGTTCACCCATTTGTCAAAAGATTCCCAATGCGGGTTTCCCGATGTGTATACGGATGGAGTCGAGGATCATGAGTTGACCTAGCATTGACGGAGGTGCCAGTCCAGACAGGGAATTATGCGATACCTATTACATACTGGGGTCGGAAAACAGTTGCGAGGCTGCCGTGACCCATAGCGGCGACTATTACTGTTGTACCG